AAGAGCGGCTTGTAGCTGGGCGGCGGCTCCTGCTTCTCCGGCTGCTCGTGGCTCAGGAAGGGAGCGTTGATCTTGCGGTACAAGCCACGGGTGTCTGTCAGCACTTCGCTGTAAGGTGGTGGGGGCTCGGCCATCAGCACCGCTTCCTCGTAGCAAGGGGGCTTGGATGGATCCGGCTCTGCAAGCAAAACAAGCACAGCAACTGAGTGTGGGGAGCTGCTAGGGAGACCGGGGATTCCTACTCCGTGCCCCCCTGTTGAGCCCAGGTAACGTTCGTCTCTACCTTGTGATATGAAATAGCCTCCCCGAAGCCAAGTGAGGCAGGACTCACATGCTTTTTGTGTCCCTGGCAAAAAGGGCCAGCAGCACCCAAAGAGAGACACGCAGCAGGTTAAGCTAACACAATCACAGGCTGGAGGAACTGGGGCCACACCCCACTGAAATGGGAGTCTGAAGGGCAGCTTATCTAGTCAGCAGCCCACCTTGCCGCCTTCTTAGAGACGCAGGCGGCCCCTCTGCCCATCACCAGGTGCAAGAGTTGACAGACTCCTTTGAACAATGAATGGGCCCTCCCAGCTCCGTGCTAAAGAAGTTGGAGCTCCAAAGGATCTAGATGAATAATAGCTTGGTGACTGCAATCATTCAGCAGAGCTGCCCTTATGCCCAGTAACGCACCCACAGACCCGGCTCCCTCCCCAGCGCGGCCCTCCAACCAGCTACTGTGCACCACAGAGTGCTGTAAGCTCCTCCTCCTCTGCCCTTACCATGCCTGCAGCTCCAAGGCCTTGGGGGCAGGAGGTGGGGGCGGTGCGGCTCAATGCGGATTCGGTGGGGCACCGGGATGCCCGGTGGGTTTCTCATGTAACCGCCTCCATAGGCAGGGCCCCCATAAGCAGGGCCTCCATAGCCCTCGTAGTGCAGGGGCTCCATCTCCAGGGTGCGCAGGTGCTGCTCCCGCAGCCGCTCCTCCTGCCGCCGCTTCATGCGCCGCCGCAGGTAGCTGCAGAAGCAACACAGCAATACAATGAGCCCCCAGATCAGCCAGAAGCCAGCAAAGCAGGTGAGGAAGGTGTAGGTGCCGTGGGACATCACCATCTTCACGCCTAGGAAATGGGGAAGGGCCCTTGGAAGTTTAGAAGCGAGGATCTTCAGCTCCGGCTGGGTGAGTTTGGGGGGGGCGGGTGGGAAGCCTCTCTCGGGTCTTCTGCAACAGGTGAGGAAGGCTTAGTTCCGCAGGTGGGTCCGTCTCCGTCTCCCTCGCTGCCCAGTCATGCTGATTAGCTCCAGAACCTCCCCTGCGCTCTCCTCGAATGTCTCGTCTCTCCTTTCTCTGGGCAGGGCACCGAACCCGCTCTTAGCCACACTACAATCCAGGTGCCATCCTGGGCATTTTCTAATCAAGGCAGTGGAACTGTGAGCCGAGGCCCGTACGCTGCAGCAGCTCAGCCCTTTCCAGTCACGCAGCCTCCTGTACGCTCTCCGCAGCCGTTGCCATGGAATCACTTCACTGGATGGATGCAGGAACAAACTTGGGTCTTTCACGGAGAGGGGGGAGTTCTTGCCCCTAAAGGTGCCCAGTGGAGGACAGGAGGGTGCTGGGAAGGCTGGTGGGCACGGCCCGCGCACTCTTCTCGGAGGGGCAGAGTTCTCGGATACTTGGGGTGACACGACCAGTAACACCAGCACCCAGCCCAACTTCTTCCCATCGCTGGGTCAGGGCATTTGGGGACCAGCAGCGGTACTGACAGGAATTCTCTCTCTGTAAACAGATAGACAGTGCCATTCAGTGTAGGAGGGAAACAGCCATGCTCTAACCTCTTCCTCAGTTCACACTAGCAAAGGGTAAGGGGACCAGTGTCACCCCTCAGCGGCCAACAACACTGCTGCCCCTTAAGCAGGTGAGCCCCTAGGATCACCAACCACAAGCCAACCTGTGGTAGGCTAACCTCAGGGGGAGCTTCTTGTTTGCTGCTCAACTGGGTATACAATGCTCCTACAGCCCTCTGGCCAAGCATCCTAGTTGCTCTCGCAAGGCGAGCCACCACCTACCAGATAGGCGTGCGTACACAGGTCTCCAATTATACATACCCACAGTCCCGCCCACACACCCACACTCACATGTAGTCACACACATACATGCATGGCACACACACAGACCGGCATGTGGCCTTCCTGTTCTCCATGCAGATTCCAGCTAAGCCCAGGGCCCCGCCATCCTAGCTATTCCCACCCAGATGACTGGTCTCCTATCCGTAGTGTATCAAGACCCTAGTTAGGCACCTGCGTTTCCAGGAAAGCAGGGCCAAATCAAAGATCAAGACCTCCACACACCCTTCCCCCCCCCAAACCCCCAGTTCTGTAGCAAGGGAGGCCAGCACAGTAGCAAAGCGCTGCCTTCCCATTTCCTCCGGGTGGACCTGGCAGCCCATCGCGCTCATCTGTTCCAGCAACCATCGCCACAGAAGTCTGCTACCCACACACCTCACAGCTTCACCCCTCCAGAGTCTGCTTTCCACATGGCATATCAGAGAGTTGCCAAGCTGTGCTCAGCTTGTGTTTTGACTTCCAGTAGCCCTAAGCAAGGAATAAAATTTCTGACCACCAGCCTCTTGAGCTAGTAACTACTCTTCAGTCACAAGCCACTATCTCACCATTAACGTTTTATTGCAGATGCATGGATTATCCACATAACCTAAAAAAGTATGAACTTGGAAAAGGCTACGAGTCTCTGCAGGCCTTGGATGTGTAATGGCCTTTGATCAACACTTGACTGCATAGCCTGAGCTATCCAAGATTTAACAGTAGCTGACTACACCAGTTGGTAACAAACCCCTTCTGAGAAACTCCACAGCTATGAATACAAACAACAGCTCTTGCAAAAACAGCCCACTTCCAAAAACATCTGGCTTCACTGACAGACCAACCATATCTAAAATGAATTGCTCCCACTTTAAAAGCCCTTTAGTATTACTTAGGGTAAGCAACCTCCTGTCCATCAGAGTGTAAACCAGTCACTGAAACTCCATCGACAGGCCGACTTGGGTCTTGTGTGGTCTGCTAGAATCCCTGAGGTCCACTGGGGAGTACCATAAATTTACAAAGCAAACACTGCCCTCAGTTACAGCATAATTTGTTTATGAAGGGATGTGATCCTGAGTATGCATTGCTTCAGAATGTAAAAAGAAATGTCTTGTTGGACCAGACTAAGGTCCACCTAATCCAGTATTAGTTGCATAAAGAAGGCACTAGGGCTCTTTTCTGCTCACCTGTCATCTTGGAGGGAGGGGCAAAGCACA